ACTAAGCACAAATTAAATGATCTTGATGATAAATGAATTGTTGTTATTCCTTGAGGTCCTTTGTTTGAGCACCAGAAATGTTAGAGTGCGAATATTTAATGTCAAATTGTTGAAAATTATATTTGAAAGATACTACCTTATACTTACCCCATATTAATAATAAATAAATACTAAGTTTGTGTGCAAGAAAAAAAGAAAGAAAAATAATATAGCTTTGCGTAACTACATTGATGATCCTTTTTGTTTTTGGTAATCTTATTTTGATTACTGGTTTTCAAAAAGTAACATTTTGATCATTTACATTGCCAACACCCGTTAGTTTAATGATGTGGCATACGAGTAGCTTGACCCTTAAATTTTAGATAGAATAAAAATTTGATCCTAGACTTTAATTAAAATACTAAATTAACCTTGAACTATATATAAAATATTAATTTAATTATTGAATACAATTAAATTTCATGTCGGGACAGCTGCTTATTTCTATCGTCGGTCATTGATTACCATTTACTGTTATCGTCGACAACTATTTGACTTCAAAATTTTTAATCTACCGGTGCTCATTTCACTGAAAAATGCCCCGAAATCCAAAAATTTAATCTAGAATCCTTCAAATTTGCTTAAGAATAAACCAATAATCTAATTCTATATCATAATAAGTTCATATTGTAGTGATCATATTTTTTTATGCAAACAAAGCCGTTAATTTTATTTTAAAAGAGAATTCAAAATTACAATGAAGTTCATAAATTAAACATATAATTAGAATATTTTTCTATAATTATTGACACACTAAACTAATCACTCAAAATCATACAAGGAAAAGATTAAAACCAATAAAAAACCTCAAACAAATATGATTGTATCAACAAATAAACCACAACAATAGATTAAACTATTGAAAGACCACCGACAACCACAAATCAGAATCGAGTTTCTTGAGAAAAACTATCTACAAACACAAATTGTGTATCCAAGTCCAATCCGAGAGTCCAAAACATGAAAAATCAACAGGGTAACTAGTTGATGACATATTAATCAGTTGATGCGACGTCAAATCCAATATTTAAAAAATTAAACAAAAAAAACAAACGATCGAATACATATCACGATGACAAAAAATAAATGTGTCATAAAGGTCAAATTATTATAAACTAAAAAAATAAAACAAATACAAGTGACCTGTGGCAAGCACCAAAACTGATGTCATCACTTGTCAAATAAATTAAAAGAAAAAGAAACGTTAATCTTTAGGGTTTATAACTATAGTAATTTAATTTATACAAATTTTATTAAATTATAGGAGTATATTACATGTAATTTTTGTCTTTATTTTTTAAAATATTTTATGTACTGTATAAGGCACTTTAAGTATAATTTTTTTTAGTAAAAGCGTGAAATTTCATTCCCATGCAAAAGTAAGGCAAGCGTAAACTACAGTTTGTGCCAAAGCAAAATAAAACATAAGCTACGAAAACAAAGTTGCTTGGTCTGAGGCGAGCAAGGGGACTATAAACGGAGGACTGCCAAACCAGCACATTGGACTATAGGAGAGACTTGCGATAGGCCTTGAAGCGCATACACATCAGCGACCCTATTACCATCCCGAGTTCCCGACCCACATGCTGAAATGTACAATGATCAAAGGATGTTGCAAGAGCTCGGATCTGATCAATAATGCAACCACCATAGGAATAGTCAACCTGTGATGAAACAACTCTGGATATAACAGACTGAATCTCCTTCGACGAGTATACTCATGTAACCTAGACCATAGTATAAAATAGCGGTTGCGACATCTGTCGCGGTTACGGATGTTGCGGACGTTACGTAACGTGTTGCGGTTGTCACGGGCGTGATTTTTTAACGTGTTGCGGCTGTCGCAGGCAGTTAAGTTGCATTAATATTACTTCGCGGTGACTTTCAAAACCGTTACGATGCAGCCGTTACACTGCGTTGCGGCCGCAATTTAATACCATGACCTAGACTCAATGTCAATTTTAGCCCTTCCAAACACGCTAAAGATTCCATGTGAAAATAATCCGTTGCAAGAGGAATCCCTCGCGAACAGCCTGGTAAGAATTGACCAGTTGAATCTCAAAAACACAATTGATACCTCCCTTGCCCATGCCTTTGTCATACGAGCCATCAGCATTAGCATTGATTAAACCAGCTGGGGAAATAGACCAAAACCGAACAATCGGGACAGGAACTACATCTGAGGGTACCAATGCCGAACAAAGCTCTACGAGGTAGTTAATCACAAACCCATGGATCTCCACATTCGATGAAATGTGGCCCTTATAAAGTTGACGGTTCTGAGCACCCCAGAGAGACCAAAGTAGCAAAGATACCTTGTGTGTGTCAGGTATGGAGAGATGAGGCAACACTGAAAGCATCCATTCCCGGAAGTCCATTCCATGACCCTGAGTGAACTGCTCCTAACCAAACAACCCTCACGTTGAGTGCAACTGAGAGCAACCATTGAGAGCACGCTAGACAGACTCTTGGCCTACTCCACACCGAAAGCAAAGCGAGTCAGAGACAACATGCTTTTGGTATAGGTTGACATAGAAAGGAAGTAGATTACAAAAAGCCCTCCATATAAAAATCCGATCCTTCTTAGGGAGGGGTTGTGACCAAAGCATTATATAGAAACCAATATCACTGGCATCTGTAATCACTCGTTGTGAGTCTAAACGGATAAGGAAATTGTATACACTTCTGATCGTGAAGCGTTCGTGAGGCTCCAACCTCCAAACCATACGATATGACCGACGATCTACAGGTATGGGGATCGATAATATGGCTCTAGCCACTGGCGCTCAACCCGCCATATTCCCAAAGAAGGGTCTCTCAAATCAAAACCCTTAGACAAGCTGCTAGGATCCCCACATGAGTTAAGTAGCTCGGCTGGTGAATATTGATGGACCCAATGATCCATGAAGACTGGAATGGTAGTATAATTTTTCTCTTTATTAAATCAAAATATAAATTAAACTATATATTTTAATTTGTATTAACCAACAAAAAGTATATTTTGAAAAAAAAAAAAGTAATCAAGAAACTCAAGGACGAATTTCAAATTTTATGGAAGAGATATGAAATTTTAATAAGTTATGTTAGAAATTTTAAGGGTACAAATTAATAAAAATTTAGGAGATGTGAAATTAAATTATTAATAAAAAAATTATATATGTGTGTGATTAGAGATGGATACAATCTTATCAAATTAAAGATATCACAATGATTAAAAGAATATTAACTACACGAATGATTATTTATGTTTGTGTTTTGTCTATTTTTTATAACTGATTTCAAAAAACATAAGATATGATGATTTTCATTTTTATTTAATTAAGATGTGGTCAGCCCAAATTAATTGCCATTAAAAACAATTAAATATTTTGATATAATCACATATTTGGTCCATGTTATTTACATATTATCTCAATTTAGTCATACTTTAAATAAATTAAAATAAATTTAATCATCTGATCGAATGATGTCATATGTCATGCCACATGTCACTATTAAGTTGGAGGACTAATTTTATTTTAGTTTAATATATTTCTTTTCACCAATTAAAGAGTGACATGTGTCACCTTCTAGCTTAAAAAAAACAAAAGAAATCAAATTGTGGCAAAAAAGATCCAATCAATGATCATTTAAGAAACTAAACATGTATCAAACCATTAAGACAAGTATATATTTTGTATCTTAGTGTATGTATTCATAATATTTTATATATATTAACTTCAAAAAAAAATTTATATTAACTTATTTAATATATTTTATTATTAATTTAATTTTAAAATATATATTTTATGTTAAAAATTATTTAAAAATATAATTAAATTGAAATCATATGTAAATAACATAGATATTTAAACGTGTGATTATACCAACTATTACCGTAGTTAACATGTGATGATCACATTTTAGTCAAATAAAAATAAAAGTGATCATATCCTAATTAAATAAAAAGAAAAGTGATCGTATCTTATATTTTTTGAAATAAATTATCAAAAGTGTATAAAAATAAAAATATAAGTGATCATTAGTGTACTCAATTTTAAAAATTATTATTCTTTTTAAAAAAAATTGAATTCGAAATAAAAATATAATAAATAATAAAGGTTTTTCGTTACCCAAAGGAAAATGATGATTCTTTTTTTGAAATGTTGTTTTTAGGTCAGGTGATTGAAAAATAGAGGGAAAGGAAAAGGGAAAAGATTATTGTGTTCAACGAAGAAGGAACTGTCATTCGAAGCTACAGGGCTCAATTAAAAAAGATCATTTCTTTCCCTTGAATTTTATTTTACCCCTTCAATATTATTTTATTTAAAAAAAATCCCAGTCTCCGTCTAAATCTACTTCTCTGAGTCACCCTTCTCAATTTTAATTTCAATTTCAATTTCAATTTCAATTTCATTTCACAAATTTATCTTCTCTTTACTAAGAATTAATGCCATAAATAACAATAATAAAACCCCATTAGCAAATCATATATATATATATATATATATATATATATATATATAACCCTCTATCTTCATCGCTTTTCTATCTAATATATTTCAGCAGAACAAAACAAGTCTCTTTTATTCCATCAATCTAATCATATGATCCATATATCTTCCAATCACAAATCTTAAAACTACTACTTCATCCCCAAACTCATCTTTCTTGACCTGCCTAACTCTCCTCAAATAAGAAAATTCTGTCCATTCTAAATCATTAGTTGGCAGCCTCCTCCACTCTTCCTTGTCTACTTTTTCTTTTCTCTTTGGTTTTCTTCTTCACTGTATTGTTTCATATCAACACTGTCATCTGCCAAGAAAAAAAAAAGTAGACTAAATTATATATATAAACAAAAGCTTTTGTTCACGGTTTCTTTAACTTGGGTAGGTTTTAATCGTATGGTCACTGAAAAAGTTTTTTTTTTTATAAAAGAAAAGTGAAACCCTAGCGTGTACGTGGTTCAGAGAAAGAAGATCAAATCTATTAGAATACTGTGTTTGGTCCATGGATTCAATTCGAGAAACTCATTATAGTTCCAACTGTGGTAACCCCAGCCTCATCGACGTTGGCAATAACGGTGCTGCCTCGCTTGCATCGTCTTCTTCTTCTTCTTCTTCGACGACTTCAAGCCGCTACGAGAACCAAAAGCGCCGTGATTGGAACACCTTTGGCCAATACCTCAAGAACCATAAGCCCCCACTGTCTCTCTCCAGGTGCAGTGGAGCTCACGTCCTCGAATTCCTTCGCTACCTCGACCAATTCGGTAAGACCAAAGTCCACGCTCAAATCTGTCCTTTCTATGGACTCCCTAACCCACCAGCCCCTTGCCCTTGCCCGCTCCGTCAAGCCTGGGGCAGCCTCGACGCTCTTATCGGCCGCCTCCGAGCTGCCTTTGAAGAAAACGGTGGAAAACCCGAAGCGAACCCTTTTGGGGCACGAGCTGTAAGGCTTTATCTTCGTGAGGTTCGTGATATGCAGTCAAAAGCAAGAGGGATTAGCTATGAGAAGAAGAAGCGTAAGAGACCACCGGCTCAACAGATCCCGACTCCACCATTTCCGCCGCTGCCGCCGCCACCGCCACCACAGCCAGGTGCAAGTTAAAACTACATGTGCATCAGCAAAGTAAAAACATCAAAACCCCATATGTGGGACATTTTCTCTTTACTTTAGCCATAAGGTATGTATTTGGTATTATTTTGAGTATATTTTTAGGGTATTTTCACTTTTCTATGCTTTGTGTTTGCTGCTACCTAGAGTGGTACTGGTACTGTTGTAGACATCTTTGTGGATTCATTGAAAATTGCTTTTGATGCAAGCAGTATTAGAATCCTCTGTAATGAACTATTAGTAGCAGTAATAATAAAAGAGAATTGTACTATCAGTTTGTTGCTTAAATGGGTTTCTTCATTTATGCAGTTCATCTGTCTCAATCTTTCTTCACTTTTCTTATATTCCAGTTCTTTTAATGGGTAATTCCCTTCATTTCATTGCTGTTAAGAGCTTTACAATATTGAGGATGAGTTCACGTGTCAGATTAATCTTCAGCTATAGTTAATTGTTTTAATGGCTTGTTACAGATACTGCTCATTTTCAGTTTTCACTCACTGCTACTCTCTCTTTTTATATATATATATTTTCCTGACTTACTCTGATCGGCACTTTAATTTTACTGCTCTGACCGTCCGGAATTAATTGATATACTGTAATAACATCAAATTCACCATTTAAGGATTGGTTTGAAATTAATTATTACCTTGTTACTACTACTTACCACTGTTTTCTTTCTTCTGCTTTGATTTTGAACTTGAAAGTTAGCCAGCTAATTCATATCTGATCTTGACAATGTTTTTGTATAGGTATCTTCTTGTTATTATGTTTTCGTGCAGTATTTATGTTTCCAATCATTTTTCTGATGCCATGTTTTTGTTATGTAATTGTGCTCATGTTTCACTACACAAGCATGATCATGGATGAGCCGAATAATGTGATTGTATTTGAACAATATCGCAATCTAATTAAAAACAAGAGATGGTCATGAGAAATTAAAGGAGTAGAAATAATGTTGAATTGTAATGTTAAAAATATTTCAAATAAGTCTTAATTCGGTTAGTATGATTGTCATAGTAACAGTTAGGAGGATATGAATTTGAGTTTGTTTAAACACGTAATATCTTTCCTTTTTAGGATCGAAATGGTTTAAGCATTATAAAAAATCAAATGTAATCTTAATTTATTACCATTGTTACTATTGTAATGTCCTACAAATCATATATTTAATGATAAACAACATAAATGACCACCCAACTATGGTTGGTCTCGAAATGACCATTATTTTTAAATTTGTGTTAATATGACCACTAAACTATTTAAATTGTTTTAATATAACCACCTGCACTTAACATTTAGCAAAAGTGTTTACAGTTAATAAATTGGTATAATTAAGATGTGGGTCCTTGTAAAGTTGCATATTAGCGGCGATGGAACCATGCTTTGTTTTCTTCCACTTTGGTCACTACTTGTAAATGATTTGCTTCCTTGGATTTTCATTTAATGCAATTCGATCATGATTCTATTTTTAATTTGTCTAATGTCTTAATTTGAGCATTAATGTTAAAACATTTTTTTTATTATATATTATATAGGCTAAATCAAAATTTAAATCTAGGCCAATTGAGAATATGATAACACTTAAATTGCTAAAAAATCTAATATAAAATTTATAATTAATTTAAGATTTTAATATTTTTAAATTAAATATATATATTTTATATTTATTTATTAATGATTATATATATGAAATTATATTTAAAATTAAATTAAAATTTTATTTAATATACATGAACTCACAAGCACAATTTAAAATCAAAATATAAATTTATAATTTAAATCTTAAATATTTTTCCTTATGATTATAATTTTACTATTAAATTATTTTTAAAGATTTCATATATATATAAATATATATAATAATTAAAAAATAAATATGAAAATAATAATTTTAGTTTGAAAATATTTAAAAATAAATATAAAAACAATAAATTTAGTCATATTCTCAATTGGCCTAGATGTAAGTTCTCACTTATCCTTTTTTATTTTATTATCATTAACTATAATATATATAATATTATAATTTATTCCTAAATATTAGATTTAGCTTATTGGTTTAGTCTAGCTTGGTTACGAATTCATTTTGGGTTCAAATCCAATTAAGTTATTTTAATTTTTTTTTTGCCTAAACTTGAACAAGTTATATAACAAATGTATTATCTCAATAACAAGCGTGAGAATTAGCTCAGGGGTTAAGGCATGCGAAGGTTACCCTTAGGTGTCAAAACTCATATTCATTTATTTTCACTTCAATTCAAAAGGTGACACGTGCCACCTTTTGAGTGGATTGAAAATTTATCAAATTAATTAAATTAAAATTAAAAATCCTCTAATAAGATTGTGACACGTGTCACAATTTGATTGAAGAAATAAATTTATCAAATTAAATTTAAATTAGGACCTAATTAAAAATTAAGAATTAAAGTTAATCTCAATGATCAAATTGATTAATTCCAAAATTCAGGGGATTTAATCTATAAATTTAATACATGACTATAATAAAATATTTTAAAGTTAATGCTCAAATTACAACATTAGACAAATTAAAAACAGAAACAAGATCAAATTGTATTAAATGAAATTCTAAGAAAACAAATCATATACGAGTAGTGATGAAAATGGAAGAAAACAAAGCAGAGTTCCAGTCGTGAATACGTAACTTAAGGACCTGCACCCTAATTATACCAATTTTATTAGCTGTCACACGTACACACTTTCGTTAAATGTTAGTGGCATGTGACTATATTGAAACCATTTAAATAATTCAGTGGTCTTATTGATGCAAATTTTAAAAAAGGTGGTCATTTCGAGACTAACCCCCATAGTTGGGTGGTCATTTATATAATTTACCCTATATTTAAATTCACGATAACTCCCCCCTCCCCCCAAGATATAGGATTGTTTAGATACTACAAAAAAGAATAAACAGATTACTCATAATCTTAAAATTCTATATATCACAATATATTATCATAAACAATCATTCTCACCTAAATATTTTCCATTTTCCCTAATTTTATCTAATAATATATTATAATAATAATTGTTGATACATGTAAGTTGTGTGGCTAGAATTATAAAGGTATAATGTGAAGAAAAAAAAACTTAACATTTGTGTAAATAGTCACTTTAATATTTTTTTTTGTGGGTAAAGAAGATCTTTTTCGGAGTATTAATCATTTGTTGATTAATGATTTCCATATACGAAGGAGAGTTTTTACTCCAAAATGAAAGGTTAAAGGTCAAAATATTCTAAAAGTACGAGTCAAAATAATTATTTAATTAAACGATAGGAATATTTTCTATCATTATGTAAATTATAAACTAATCTTAAAATTTAGATCAAAGTATGACAGCAGAACAAGTAATTTAAAGAAGGATTAAATATTAACTACAGTGATTTTTTTAAGTTATATATTTCAATTATGATAACATTCAATTAAATAATTATAAAATTACAACAAACCAGTCGAATAAATTTAATTCGATTGGTATTATCATTCAACATCTTCCAATAAGGGGACTTAAATTATATAACAATTTTTAAAAACCGAAAACCATTTGAGATAATTGTTTAAAACGAAAGTGTCGAGTTTTTTAAAAAAAATTCTCGATTATAACTGATAAATGCTCTCCCCTAACCTCTAACCAATTAAGAACTGCAATGATCCCTTGAGTTCAAATTCCTCAAGCATTTCAAATAATGTTGCATATGGATTTAATCCCATCTGTTAGATAATTTACCTTTTGATCTGCTTCCCTAATTTTGTTCGAGCCCAAAACCTTTAAAAATAACAACATTATTTTTTATTAATGAAGTCGCCCGAGTTAATTTAAGGTTTGAAATCATTAATTTAGGGATAAGCATTTCAAGTAATACCTCCTGTTTTTGAAAGATACAACTTGATGAATGACTGCTTCCCTTTATATCTCATCAACATATACATTTTTAGAAAAGTCGGCTGTGCTTGCATTAACAACTTATACTTCAATAATTTGGTTTATTTTCCGATGAGTTTTCCAGCTAGGATGAATAAGTGAATAATAGGGCTCCATTGTTCCAGAAAATGTCCGAATGAAACGTAATATGGATTTGGTCCATTTTCTTCTCCTGCCATTTTTTTGAACTTTTTTCTTTTATTTTACATATTAAAGTATATTAAAATTCAGATTAAATTAATGTCGGATTATTACCATATATGGTCAATGAGGATCTGGAACTGTTACAAGTTATCTGAATGTTGTTGCAAACAGTTTGGGTTGTTCCAGAGTGTAAGTAGGTTTTCTCGTAGGAAAATTAGTGAAATGAACTCATTTTAAAAGATAAAATTATTATTTTGTTATTTTTGTTTTTTCAGTTTAAAAAAAACAGTAATCGAATATAAATTCTTTAACTTTCCACATATATTCCATTCTTTAAATAAGTTTCTAGAAAATATATATTAGGTATTTTCAACTTAAATTATTACAGTGAGAAACAACATTTGACCGGTTGGTCATATCGCTCGTTCTTGTTCTTTCATATTCGTTTAGGTTAAAATTTATAGTTTAAACTTCAAATTTCACCATATGTTCCATTTAGGTATTATATTTATCAATATTTAAAGTATAAAAAATGAAAAATATTGTAAAAATATATTAAAAAACATAAAAATCAAACGAGTTTGTTTATGAACATAAACGAATAAGTCGATAACTAAGCTTATAAATAAGTTTGTTTGTGAACATAAATGAACCAAACACACCTCTATTTGTGTTCATTTGTTTCTTAAATGAACACAAAAAATTTGTTCATGCTTATTTATTTATCTTAATAAATAAACTTAAACAAGCTTTATACGAACAGTTCAAAAATAATTCACAGAATACTTTGTTCATTTACACTCCTAGAGATAAACAATGGATACAATGTGATTTACATAGAGTAAGCCTTCAGTAGATAGACTCGAAGTCACTATCATCTTTTTTTTTTTTTTTAAAGGAAAGGTCTTGTACGTTATTAATCAACAAATGGTTGTC